TTGCCATCAGGTCCTGGAGTCCCTAAGTTCCTTTCCTCTAGCCTTCGCTTGCATATGACATTTTTCTCTGACGTGTTTTTCTGTTTTGCTCTGCTCTCTCCTTTCTGCTCCTCTGCTTCTGTCTAGATGTCTTAATCAGGGTTGGAAAGGACGAGGGGGTGGGGTGGGGTAGGTCTTTGCCTCTGTACTTATACTTCATCTCAGAGTCTCACTTAGTCTGGAGCAAGGTGTAAATGAGTCGGGCATGAGGAAGCTCTCTGGATGATGCTGATGGGGAGGGGGAGAGATTTGCAGTCAGGAGCTGGCTCTCAGCTTTTGCATTTCATTTTCTTTCCTGTGACATGTAGTGTTCCAGGCTGGCAGCATGCTGTGAACAAAGAAAATTGCATTCTCTCATCCCGTTAGATAGGCTGTGACTTGGCAAAGGCTGAAAACAAATCATGCACCCACTTAACCTTTCCATCGTGACAACCCCCCTTCCCCCATTCCATAGGAAGTGCTTCCAGACTGCACACGAACAAACCCTAATTAAGTCTTTCCTTGGATCCATTTTTTCTCCAACCTTTTCTTGGGCGTAGATGTGTAATTAAGAGGTATATCAAGAGACAATGTTTGTCTTGACAGGAGGGGCTGGGATGTTGCTCAGCTGGTAGAGTGCTTGCCTAGCATGTACAGTGTGCCCTGAGTTCAGGCCTCAGTACTCAGGTGGGGGTAGGGGAGAAACAAACAAACAACAAGGAAACAAAGTATAGGATTCAGCTGGAGAGCCTGGGGTGTGGTCAGGTGATAGAGGCACCAGTTTAATGTGGTCCAGGTCCTGGGTTGGATGCCAGCCAAACATAGAAGCAGAAAATCAAGCTGATGGGAAAAATTAAGAAGCTTTTAATGAAAAAAAATTGATTGCAATTATAGAACATTCTCTCAGATGTTTTGTTTCTTCCATTTTTTGTTGTTTTGTCACTTAGTAAAAGAATGTCTTCCAGCCAATACAATCACACTCACATACTGAAACACACATGCATACACATTCGCACTTAAATACTCACACACATGTATACACATTCACACTCACAGCCAGGTGGTGGTGGCACACACCTTTGCTTCCAGCATTCAGAAGGCAGAGACAGGCAGATCTCTGTGAGTTTGAGGCCAGCCTGGTGTACAGAGCAAGTTCCAGAATAACTAGGGCTGTTACATAGAGAAACCCTGTCTCGAAAAACCAACCAACCAACCAAACAAACAATAAAACAAACACATTCACACTCACATGTTCAAATGCATATACATTCATACCCACATATACATACATGCATTCACACTCATGCTCACATGCATACATATTCACACTCACTCATATGCATTCATATTCACACTTACATGCATACACATTCATACTCAAATACTCACTCAAACACACATGCATATACATTTACACTCACATACATACACAAATATACACTCACACATTTTGGTTGAGGATAGAACATGTGAACAATGGTGGTCCTTTAGGGTTGTATCGCTGAGGGACATGGTAGTCCTCTTAACTTGAGTAAGTAGACCCCTTTATATGACGTATACTTTATAGTGTTTGCACAGTGATGGACTTGCCTACCAGTGCGTTTCTCAGGACCATCCTTGTCCTCCAGCTAGGTCTGTATACAGTGTGCATATTTCTGTGCTTTGTATACTTACCTGGAAAGAGGCTTAAACAATTTATCATGTATCTGGGAGTTTCAAGATCTACCTCTTTCTCCCAAAGAGCAAGAACCACCAGTATGAAATAGAGACAGAAGCAGAGACAAGATCTGGAAGACATGAAGAGAGGGTGGGGTCTATACAATATAGAGGATCTAGGAGCACCCAGGAGGGATGTAAGCACGTTATATCTTTCATTAGATGCACCTGACCTCAGTCCCTAGCATCTCCAAGCACTTGCTGTTCTGGCTGGGTAACCTGGGGCATGACTTCTTCAAGCTTAAATTTCTCATCTATGAAATGGGATGACAGAGGTGTGGCAAGAATTAGATGAGGTCATCCCCATCGATTGTCCTGCTCCCTGTCCATTATCCTGCTAATTTGATGTGCCTTTTGTCTCTGCATGTGTGTGTTTGCATTTTCCTGTCCACTTTACTCTCCTTTCAGGCCAATTGCAGGCCCCACGAGGGTCTGCTAGTGTTGTTCCTTAGTTGAATGTTTCTTTCCCCCCAGCTCCTCCAGGACCTGTTTGCTGGCTATGCTCAGCCACTCATTTGCACTTTTTACTCCAGTATAGGGAGAACTCTGGGCTAGAAGAGTGATGCCTTCCCAAGCCAACCCAGCTTGGGAAGGAGAGACCAAATGAGCCCTAGGACAGAGTCTGCAGTGCTCCGTTAATAGACGCCTCAGAAGGCTTTGGTGCTGGCCTACTTTCTTTTTGTAATTCTCACAACAGGCCAGAAGATGGGGCTCTTGACCCTGAAGTCAAGGGCCAGAGGCTCTCCTTCCACATCTGAACTAAAGGGAAGTCAGATCCAGCAGGGCTCCTGGAAATCACATCCCTTGCCCTCTCCTGCCTCCTCTTCCTGTGGCTGAGCCCTGTCTATTGGGGCAGTGAGGCACGCAGGCACAGCCTCTCTTTGGCCACCACCTTTGGCCTCTCTTGAATTATGACACAGCCAGGCCAGTCTAATGAACTCCTAGCTTCAGGCTTGGCCTGTAATCCACCCCACCCTCTGGCCGCTTTTTCAAGATTGTCCAGGCTCACCTGGACTCATCTGTCTCATCAGGCTGTCCTCAGCTCCTCAAAGAATCGTCCCCTGTCACATGACCAGGTTCCTTCTGTCACATAGCTCTGTGTTTCCTTCACAGTGGCTGTCATAACTTTCAATTGACTTACTCAACTCCTGTCACCTCTCTAAATTCCAAGTCCCAAGGGGGCAAGCTCTTCTCATTGCTGGCTCGCAAGCACCACCCAGGAGCGGGTACAAGGGATCTCAGCAAAGCTATTTTAATCAACAAATGACGATGTCTGCCTGACCTGGACACTGTTTAGTTTTATTTTTGTGTGACTCGGCTTTCTCTCGAGTGAAACAGAGAGGGAATAGAGATGCCATGACTACTGCAATGGATGACACATTTTGTGACATTAGGTCCTGTTTCCTGGAAGGGCTCCCTAAAACCATGCAAGGGAGACGCAGTCCGAACTCATTGTCCAGCTCTCCACAGCCTGACAGGGGCATTTTACAACTGCCACCCTCGCATCTCCTGCTCCTTTCTGTGCTGTTACCACTCTCATCCCTGCGCCCCCAGCCTTGAGGGGCTTGCTTGCTCTCTTCATTTTGGCTCAATAAAATGTGTGATGTGTGTAGAGCCCTGAGGACAGCTTGCAAGAGTTGGTTTTCTTTTTATTTCATGTAGGTCCTGTGGATCAAACTCCGATAATAAGGCTCCCTGCCTTCACCTGCTGGACCTAGACACATTTATAAGTGGATTGAAATAAATGTACACATATTCACAATCTTCCAGATGCTCCATAACCTTGAGGTTATGTGGGGTACAGAGGCACAAGGAAAATAATCATTGTTGCCCTCTCTGCCTTATTTGTTAAGAGTCTCTCACTAGGGCCGGGTGTTGGTGGTGCATGCCTTTAATCTCAGCACTCGGGAGGCAGAGGCAGGTGGATCTCTGTGAGTTCAAGACCAGCCTGGTCTATAGAGTGAGTTCCAAGACAGCCTCCAAAATAATACAGAGATACCCTGTCTCTCGAAAAACCACACACACACACACACACACACACACACACACACACACACAGGAAAAAAGAAAAGAAAAAGAAAGTCCCTCACTAGCTCCGGACTGGCCTAGGACTGGTCTAGACTGGCTGGCTATTGACATCCAGACCCTCGTGTGTCTACCTTCCTCAGCACTGTGGTTACAAACTTTTGTCACCAGAACCAGTTGTTCCTCGCATTCTGGGTATTGGACTTAGGTCCTTACACTTACATAGGAAGAACTTCTTAGAGTCTCTCCCCAGCTCTAAAATTATAGTTCCTTTTTAGGGACATCAAGGCTCACTTTTGTTTCCAGTTTTGGTGACAATATAAAGGATGATATGCAGAAGTTGACTTTTTTTTTCTCTTTCTTTTCTTTTAGATAGGGTATCACCACGAAGTCCAACTTGGCCTTGAACTTGCTGGTAGCTTGTTTCAGCTCCCGAGAGTGAGGTGATAGGCACACCACCATAAGGGTTAAACTTTGACTTGTCATGTTCCTTTTTGAAGTTTTGGCAGAGGCTGACAATGATTTGCAATGGTCCCTTTCCTCCTAACAGTGTGGACCTCCTCCAGTCTCAGGTGATAGGGCATGTAAGACAAAAGTCCTTTCTTTCTCTTAAGCCACTTTCTGTTTTCTTGTAAAACCAGATCAAATTGAATGCATTACTCATCATTGTCCAACTTTGCCTCAGATCTGTTAGTTCTGCTGTGAGAGAATAATTTGTCTTAAAGCCTTTTTTGGACCAGTTGAAATCATCCTAGGCTCAAACTCCATGGTCTGCTGTCAGTCTTAGAGACAGGGAGGCCTAAGTCTCATAGCCTGTGGAGGGGCTGCCTTCTGCCTGCCTGTTGCCCTTTAATGCTCTTCAATCTGGCCACTAGGTCAAGGGTTAAAAAGCAATTTCAGAAGTCCCTCTCTTATCATTGTTCCTCCTCCCGTCATTGTTTCTGAGGGGAATCTTCTCCTGATAAAGTCAGACTAGGCAAACCCGACACTTTCCCACGAGTCGGGTAGAACTGCAAACGGAGGCAGTGATTTTCGCTCCTTTTGCAAAAGCAGCTGGAAGGACCTCTGAGCCCAGGGCCCCCTCCCTCCCTGAGGGAGAAGGGCGGGAGGCGGTTTCCAAGGCAACCGGCCCAGGGAGGGGTTGGCTCTCTGGCGCCCTCCTCCCCTCTTCCTGGTAGCCCAGGGTACCGCCGGACAGCGTCCTCCTGTGCTCCGCGCCCTGATTGGCTGCTCGGGCCGCTCTCTGATTGGCCGCGGTGGCGCCTCGCCGGCTGGTGGCTATGAAGGTGGCGCCGGTGGATGGTTGACCATTGCCTTTAGGGTCGGGGTCGCTGCGTGTGCGATCGGCTCACACTGGACTAGAGGGCGCGGACTGCTGCAGCTCAACCTGGAGCCCACCGGCGAGCCCAGGCTCCGCCCGGCCATGCCCGCCGGGAGCAACGAGCCGGACGGCGTCCTCAGCTATCAGGTGGGCCCCGCCTCCCGCTCCTCCCCGGCTCAGCCTGAATCGGCTGCCCACCGCCCGGCTCCTGTTCCAGCCGGGGTTCCAGGCGTGTCCCCAAGGGTCGGGGGAGGCCCGCGTGGGACGCCAGGGGGCGCTCCCGGCAGCCGGGGAGGGTGACCTTGGACCGAGCCCGGAGCCGCGAGCACCGCCGCATCCCTTGCATCGCCTGCTGCCCGCTGTTCTGGAGCAGTGACCTCTGTCCGCCGGCCCCCTTTGGCAGCAGACGCCGGCGTCTGGCCTTTCCTCGTTTTACCATACCTATGGGTGGACGAAAGGGTATCCGGGGACATTTGAGGGTCTTTGTGTTTTTATTCTGGTTCCTCAGTGGCTCAGAGGAAGCCTTGCAAAGACCAGGTGGCTGGGAACAGCCCCTGAGAATGTGGCCGGCTTTGTGCATCCCCGCCCTGCTGCCTAGAAGCTGATAAGTTCTGGATAGCGATACACATGGACCAGGGAAGCGGTGAGGGGTCAGGGACCACACCATCAGCCTTAAGTAGTTGATACTAGAACTGCAGGGGCGGCTAATATTAGGAAGCTTTGGACTAGGTATTAACAGTCTGTAGGTTCAAATCCCAATCTGTTTCTCATAGGCTTCCTGACATTGTGCAAACTACTTGCCTCTTTGAACCCCGATTTCCCCATTATTAAAATGGAAATAGTAGTATTTGTACTGTTTACTTCACAGGGCTGTTTTAAGAACTCTTTGAAACACAGTAAGTGAATAGTAGCTTTTTGAATTCTCACCCTCTCTCACCTCCACGTTCTTGTGAAACCCCCATTAGCTGTGGTTGCTGCCTTGAAAAGAAGGTTTGAAGGAGAGAAGGGAACCTATACGGGTCTTGGAAGCAAATGCCATGACATTAGGAGTGGGTTTTGGGAAGAGGCGGGGAAAACCTCCTGAGTGTAGTGAAATGGGTGTGACACTCCCTATTCCTCTTCCTGGCAGTAGTCTTTGCTTGTCAGTCACCAAAATAAACAGATCTAAGATTTTGGGGAAATCTGATCTCATGCTATGCTATAGTCAACTTCTGTTTGGGAGACATGGAGCAAAAAGAGGCTGCAGTCTTTCCTCTCCCAGCTGGTGGGAAAGGAGGAGAATTAGCTTTTGTTTGTTTGTTTGTTTGTTTTACTTTTGGTGGTGCTGGGGATGGCCTACCTCCTAACTTGCTAGGCAAATACTCTACCACTGAGATATATCCCAGCCTAAAGTAAGGTGTGTGTGTGTGTGTGTGTGTGTGTGTGTGTGTGTGTGTGTGTGTGTGGCCAGTTTGATATCCAGTGTCTTCATCACTCTACTCTTATTTATTAAAACACGTTCTTGCATTGAACCTGGAGCTTGCTGTTTTAGCTGGTCAGGTAGCCCTGGACAGCTTGTTTCCCCCACCCTCTGGTGCTGGGGATTCGGACAAGTACTGCCATGCTAGCTTCTTACATGGGTGCTGGGGGGGTCTGAATTCAGGTCTTCATGCTGCACAACAAGCACTTTACCCACTGAGCCATCTTCATGTCACACAAAATACTGTAGTCCCATTGCTAGGAGTCTGAGGCAGGAGGGTCATGTTTGGGGTTAACATAGATTACATGATGAGACCCTGCGTCAAAAGATCTGCATGAAGGAAATGTGTTGTTGTAAACTCAGGTGCTTTGGCAGCATCTCAGAAGGTCCTATGAGGGCAGCCATCGCTCAGGCCACAGAAGATGTTTCTAAGAAGAAGAAAATTTGGGCAAAGGTCTGAAGAGTATCAACTGAAGGAAAGGAAAGGTCAAAGAACTTGGAAACAGAGGACAGTGTGCAGAAGTCCTGTGGCAGCTATGGGACATGTTCTGCAAGGACAGTGTGGTAGAGCCACAGGGACCAGTGAGGAAGTGTGAACTGTGTTCTGGGCTCCTAACACAGCGAGACACTGTGGTCCCCACTGAAGAAGCTGATGTTTTTCTGAGGACCAAGAGCAGTCATGGTGAACTCTAAGCAAATGAGGGAAGGTGAGACCTGAGAGTGGGCTCAAGAGATGAAGGGTGAGGTCCTCATCAGATGTCCTCTCTTGAAAGATTTCTCTGGCTGCCGAGGGCGATCAGGCCGGGGTGGGTGAGGAGACCCCATCCATGCAGAGTGTGTGCAGGTTATATCGAGTACATAGTCACCATTCAATTCTGTTAATGGTCTGTGGTTTGTGTTTCTGGACAGAAGACAGTGTATTCTTTACATTGAGCTAAGATACTTTGTGGGTCATGGGGTGGAGAGAGGAAAGAGAGGGAATAGCGGACATAGGAACTGGAGATTGGGGGTGGTGAAAAGGGGAAGGAAATGGGAATGTTTTTGAGGAGACACAATTAGCCCATGGACCAAGCCTCCTGTGTGCCAACTTGAGAAGAGCTAGACCTTGCAAAGTGAGTGGATTGTGTGACTTGATGGGAGAAGGGTTCCAGACATGACATTCCCACTTCATAAGACCTGTTTTGTCAGGGACAGATTCCTGCCCTGCCCTTCTGACCACACTCTACAGCCATTCTCCACTGTGCAGCCAGCAAGGGGTTAGAAATGCAAACCAGATGGTGTCATGGCCTCACTGAAACCTCAGTGGCTTCTTGATGCATATTAGAATAAATCCAAACTCTGCCATGGCCTACCAAGGTTTGACGTGATCAAGGCTTGCCCACCCTCCCTGGATTCCTCCATTCTCACTGTGCACACCAGCTTGGGCTTGCTTTGCATTTCTCTGGTATGGCAAACTCCTCCTTAGCTCGGGAATGTGTCCTCTTTCTAGGACAATCTTGGTTTCCTCATGACTCATTCCTATCTCCCGAAGATTGGCTTCTCTTGACCTCCACCCTGAGTCACACTCCTCCATAGGATCCTCTTTGTGTTTCTGCCTAGCACAATGTGTGTGAGTGGATGTCCTGTTATCTTCTGAGGTAGAAGTTTCAGGAGGGCAGGGACGTGGCAGATGATCCTGTCTCACATACTGCCTGGTATCCAGTTAGTGCTGAGCTACTGAGTAAGTGAATGTTTTCTGAAGTGTTTCTCTTAGGAGCTTGTGATATTCCAGGCAGGATTTGCATGAACCAGTAGACATAAGCTTCTCCCTTTGCTCAGGTTAGCAAACTGCAGGATCTTCCCTCCTTTTCTCTGAGGAAATTCCATTCTGACCTTCCAGCTGGCTCCATGTAGCAGCTCTACCAGAATTTGCCACTCAGTCTCCCCTGCTCACACCACCTGCCAAGTGCGCTCATGTCTTCTGCCTTGCTGGACCATACAGGCTAGCTTTTGCCACTGAGCTGGTACTTTCTTTCATTACACACAATGAATGTTTTCCATGTGCTAGGCACCATGCGGGGTGCTTTCCATGTATTCTCAGGCTTACATTACAATGCTGAGGACTGCACCCAAGCCTCACATATGGCAGGCAAGCACCCTGTCACTGGACTGGACCTCCCAGCCTCATATCCCGGCTAACTTTTTCTGTAACCCTGAGAATTATGCACCTCTATTGTTCCTACTTCACAGATAAAGAAACAGAAATGCAGTGAGGTGAAATGACTTCTAGAAAGGGCAGAGCTCCTCTTGATAAAGGCTGTTCATTACCACAGCTGCAGCTTTGCAGTCTAGAGCAGTGTTTGGCCCTGAGTGAGCACCAGAGGTGCTCTGGGAAGTGTACAGGAAGGTGTTAGAGTGAGGCTAACTGGAGTGAGGGAGGCCCACCTGAGGCTGCTGGCATGATGTAGGTGCCTGCATCACCCACCTCCATTAACATGGCCTGCATCATCTACCTCCATTAACATGGCCTGCATCATCCACCTCCATTAACATGGCCTACATCATTCACCTAACTAAGCTTTCTGAGGTGTCACTGACATTTTAGGAGAGATGAGCTCTTAACAGGGGACACCAATAGAGGAAGGCAACCAGACAGCTTTAGGGAAAGTTCCTGCTTTGTGTTGGAACATCTTATATTACAGTTCTGCTGCTCAGCACTTTCAGAGCTGACCAGAAGGAAGTGCTGGGGGGGGGGGTTGGTCACCACAGTATCTGAGTAAGGTGGTGCTGGGCATCACTGGCAGGTCCAGGGAGTGTGGAGACGGAGGGGGAAGGTCATCAGTGGCAGGTCCAGGGAGTATGGAGACGGAGGGGGAAGGTCATCAGTGGCAGGTCCAGGGAGTGTGGAGACGGAGGGGGAAGGTCATCAGTGGCAGGTCCAAGGAGTATGGAGACAGAGGGGGAAGGTCATCAGTGGCAGGTCCAGGGAGTATGGAGACGGAGGAGGAAGGTCATCAGTGGCAGGTCCAGGGAGTGTGGAGACGGAGGGGGAAGGTCATCAGTGGCAGGTCCAGGGAGTGTGGAGACGGAGGGGGAAGGTCATCAGTGGCAGGTCCAGGGAGTATGGAGACGGAGGGGGAAGGTCATCAGTGGCAGGTCCAGGGAGTGTGGAGACGGAGGGGGAAGGTCATCAGTGGCAGGTCCAGGGAGTATGGAGACGGAGGAGGAAGGTCATCAGTGGCAGGTCCAGGGAGTGTGGAGACGGAGGGGGAAGGTCATCAGTGGCAGGTCCAGGGAGTGTGGAGACGGAGGGGGAAGGTCATCAGTGGCAGGTCCAGGGAGTGTGGAGACGGAGGGGGAAGGTCATCAGTGGCAGGTCCAGGGAGTGTGGAGACGGAGGGAGAAGCAAGGAAGCTTGGCTTTACAACCATCAGCCCTGGAACACTTTGTAGAAATTGTTAGAATACCAAACCCAAACCCTGGAACTGGACATAGGAGCAAATGACTGTGATCCTTGGAACTTGGAAGGTAGGGACAAGAGAGTTAGTTCAAGGTTAAAGCCTGGAAGATGACACAATGGATAGAGCACTTCTGGACAAGTGTGACCATTTGAGTTTAACCTGTGGGACCCACATAAAGGTTGAAGAAAAGACAGGCTCCACAGAGTTGTCCTGTGATCTCAGTAGGTGTACTGCGGCAAACACATGCC